CTAAACTTGTAATTGATGAATATTTGCTCCTTCTTTACTTGTTAGACACTTCGCGTCACTTCATATAAAATATATTTTTCTCGTAAGAAGCATTTTATGTTTTTACATTACAAGAGAACCAGTTTTCATAACGACTCTAAATCAGGAGCGATTCTTTTGTGTGCATGCCGTATACACCATCACACTCAACTTGAGTAGTACCAAAAATATCGAGGTTTTAATCTTTGTAAGGGTAGTGGCACAATCTTGTGATCTGAATTTCTCCTCAATATGTTTCAAGTGAGAAATAGAGTAAGCTTTGAAAGTTCATCTATCTAGCTCATAAAATATACCATGAATCAAAACACATCCTTTTTTAAAAAGAAAAAAGCTACAAATGCAACCAAATATGTGAAGCTCAGTATCATAGATATTGCTAAATTCTAAAGTACTTGCCAATTTTATTTTATTTTTTTCTAGCCTCCAAGTTTCCAAAAAGGATAAAATTGCCATAAAACAGAAAAACAATCCCCACTGACCAACATAGCTAAAATTGAAAATTAAAATAAATAAAAAATAAGATCCCAGCTGTTCGTAATTTTATATCTGACGGTGCAAAATTGCCCGATTGCGTCAGAACCTCATCCTCAGCCGTTCGATTGGTCCTTTCAAAAAAACGCAGTAAGACTTCCATATAAATACTACATCAGATTAAAGAAAAGAACATATAGATTGCTACAACATCACAGAGATAGATTTCTCTGTCTCTCTGATTTTGGGGTGGCTTTCGATCTGACAATTTTTGGGGTGAAATACAATGTTCTTGTTAGATTGGTTCTATGGGGTTCTTGCATCGCTCGGCTTGTGGCAGAAGGAGGCCAAGATCTTGTTTTTGGGTCTCGACAATGCTGGCAAAACGACGTTACTTCATATGCTCAAAGATGAGGTTTCTCTTTCGTTTCTATTCTCTTCATAAATTCGTGTACGAATGTTTTTGGTGCTTTTGAATGCGGTGAAAGTTATGATTTTTTCAATGCTTCGATGGTCTTTCGGAATTATTGGTATTTCGATTTCAATTGAAATTTGTATTCTTTATTTGCTTTTAATCAATGCGAGGTCTGTTTGATTGCTGGGAAAGTGAGGGAAACGAAAAGATTGACCAACTTAATAGTTTTGAGAGTGCAGTTGTTAATTCTTATAGAATTGAATAAAGGATTTGAGCTTGACCTGAACTTTTTTATGATTATCTGTAATTCCTATGATTTTGTGTAGGATCAGAGCCTACACTGAAAATTATTGAATGATGAAGTAGAGTTTAAGACAGTATTGACTGACTCAAACTGTAATACTTTTGTATAAAAAAAAAAGGAAGAAACAAATTTACTCGTTACTTGCTTTGATATTTTTGTGATAATTAGGATGGAATTTGATTTTCTGATTCTGGGTCTTGGTGGTGATGGATTATTGCAGAGATTAGTTCAACACCAGCCGACGCAGTATCCGACATCAGAAGAGTTAAGCATTGGGAAAATCAAGTTCAAGGCTTTTGATTTGGGTGGACATCAGATTGCTCGCAGAGTCTGGAAAGATTACTATGCTAAGGTATTGTTGATGATATAATGTAAGAGGTTACATTGATATACCTGTTATATTACAACTGGTTTTTGCATATATGAACTGTTTGAGCTTTAGTATGCTCAATGAGAAGCTTTGTTTTTGTATTTGGCAATAGTGATTTCTGAAGGAAAGATTCAAAGTCCCTGAGTGCATGGGGTTAAGTCTGGGAATGCTTGTGCCTCCATAATCCCAGATAAAAGTTTTTAGTGTTTATCTGATTCATGGGAGGCAGATACAAGTAATGGTAGTTCGCTGATAGCACCTTTTGTCTTTAGAAGGTATGCTAATAGTACCTTACCATACATCCTTACTTTGCAATTTTCTTTATCTGGATTAATAATTGGTTAGCTACAAACAGATTCCTTATCAGAAGTGGGAATAAACCTTTGTCCTCGATGACTATGTTTCGAAATCACCTTGTTTCTTTTTGACCCGTTTAAGGATTCTATTTTTTAAGGAAAGAGTGCGTAGTAGAACCTGGAAGATGTAGTTAGGTATGTTATATAACGGTTATTCTCGAATAAGGTCCTCAGATAGAGCTAAGTTTTCACGCCATTGGAATATGAATGACTTAGATGCATTGAAGGATCTGTTTCTAAGTTGTTAGAGCATAGATGTAACGGCTCTGAAACAGGTCCTTCGCAGAGGATATCTGATTGTTATGTACTTGAACATCTTTTGGAACCTTTAATTGGACAGATTTTTGGGATTTGACTTGTTGTCTAAGAAAGAATGGTATTTCTGCTAATAAGTATTTGAGGGTTTATATTATGTTCTCTTTATGTTCATCCTTGGTAAATCCATTTTGTCTTTGTTCTGCAAAGGTGGATGCAGTGGTTTACCTAGTGGATGCTTACGACAAGGAAAGATTTGCCGAGTCAAAAAAAGAGCTGGATGCTCTTCTCTCTGATGAGGGGTTGGCCAATGTTCCATTCCTTATTCTGGGAAACAAGATTGACATACCATATGCTGCCTCAGAAGAAGAATTGCGATTCCACCTCGGCCTGAACAACTTCACCACAGGCAAGGGTAAAGTAAACTTGACAGACTCAAATGTCCGTGCCCTCGAGGTTTTCATGTGCAGCATTGTTCGCAAAATGGGTTATGGTGATGGCTTCAAGTGGCTTTCTCAATACATTAAGTAGGGAGCACCACAAAGTAAAGACTAGGCTTCTCACCCTTATTTGTTATTTCCAATTTTCGAGCTTTTATTGCTAGAGATATTTTGTCTAATTTTTTTTCTTTCATTAAATGACAAAACATATACCCCGTCCATGTTATGATGAGCAAAAGTTATTGATGATTTGTGGTCCGATTTTCACACAAGGCACCTTCTTTTCTTTTACTCACGCAGCCGGTATGAATGAAGAAAGACTATAGCCCAGTGTAAAGGGCCTTGGCTTGCAGACCCCATGTTCGAACACTCATGGTACCTTGACAATATGTGTGTGAGAAAACCTCCCATATCGCTTGTATAAAAATAAAAATAAATAAAAATAAACGCTCATGGCCAAGAAGCTACATCAAAAGTATTTTCTTTTCTCTCCAAGCCCATTGAGCCCAATTGGTGGATCCAATTAAAGTAAGAAACAGTTCAACTAATTTTTTATTTTTTATTTTTATAAATTTTTAACATATAAAAAATCTTTCCTAGAAGGGAGGTACTTGCTGCTGGCTTGCATTATATTCACATCAAGCAATGAGTATTTTCTTTAAATATTAATCGAAATGAATTGTTTATTTAGTGAATGACATAATATGGTTCTCAGTTCTTACACTGAAAATGGAAATGCCCAAAAGAACAAGTACAAAGTTGGTGGCTTGCTTACCAAATTCACTCATCTAAGTCCCTTTGTTCCCAACCATTTTTTTGCTAGAACTATCTCAAACCACCAGACCACTCTCTCCTTTCGGTTTACCAAGTAGCCAGGGTGACCTCTCATGCCTTATTAAAAAGATAAAACCATCTGAACACCACAGTAGAACTCACATTACCATACTAAAGGTAGGTACACATCCAATTTTCCGTCTGCTCACAACTCCTACAATGGCTTTTATTGCCCTCCCAACACACAAGTTCCTCTGTTTCACTCTTGTTCTCATCGCTGTCTCTTGCTGCTACTCAGGTTATACTTCGTGTTTGTAACACCCTTGTACGTTTTCTTTTCTTTTCATACCTGAATCTGATCGTGTTCTTATGTTTGTCTGGATATGTAGCAGGATATGCAGAGGAGAACCCGGCACAAACGTTTGTGACAGCTTTAGCGTGCTTCAACAATAAGTTTGTGAGTGTAAACCAACAACCATGTTAGCCAGTTCATTTTTAATATCTTGTTTGAAGCAAGATTCAGTTATTGTTTGCAAGAACATCAGGTCCTCAAATTTATTTTTTTTCTGAAAAAATTTTCTTTCGTTTTTCGATCAGATATATGCCGGTTGTGATGAAGCATATAGATTGAATGAGAGTGGAAACTTTAACGTGCCTCCTGAAGCAACTGATCTGTTTTGCCATGGACCATGTCTGGCTGAGACACAGCAAGTGCTAAATTGCGTTGATCGCATGTTATCAGGCTTCGTTTTCAATAATAGGGCAACACTACCAGATATTAGAGGTGCACTGCGTGCTGGTTGCAGCTACACCAGCCAAAGAGGTAACAAATAATACAAATATTTATTAAATGCATAGCAAATGATAAATCGGAACTGATATGGATTTATATATCTGCATGGTGACATGGTGCAGGAAAGTTCAATGGTTTTGGACCTTTTGGTGAGTATATACAAGGTGAAACGAGCAAGGCACAGAAGCTACCAAATTTTATCAGCTTTTTCACTTTTTTAATTGTTACTGGGTGCTCTCTCTTCATATTACACTGAATGTATCAAGTACCACATTTGAAGTTGAAAACCACTATACATTTATGTGGGTTTAATGTACCACATGAACAAATATAGATACATTTCCAATCTCCACTGGCTATTAGTAATCGCCGTTTGTTCTCTCTTCTCGTTTGGGATCAAAGAAATGAGTCCTTTGCCCTTCTCTGGGCCTCGTCCGCCATGAGCGAGTAGCTACGTCTTCTTTACAAGTTAGCTCGTAAAGCGGGCTGGATTGAATTCATAATCTTACAATTAAGTGGTTTGACTTTCTTTCAGGATTTGACCTCGTTTAAGGGTTTAACCTCTTTATGTAATTGGTTAATTGAAAGGAAGAGGATGTAATGAGGTAAAATACAATTGGTTAACCTTGTTCCTCTCTAAGATGAAAGCTCTTGCATGTTCTAGTTTACAACTAGTTTTTTTTGTTGCCGTTTCTTTTTATTTTTATGTTTCTGGGAAAAGACTTGGAAAACAACTACAATAACCATGCAACATTAAAAAGATTAAAATTAAAAAAACAAAAATGAAAGAAACCAAGACGCATTATGAATCTTGAGTAACTCTTCCCTTTTCCCTAATTCCGCTATCAGTATGTAACATCTTGAAAACTTACCGAACTTACATTTTGTACAAGCCCGAATACCTAAATATTTGAGTGGTTCGTACAGTGCTGCGCTTCACTTAAAAACATAATTTGAAATGTAAACAACCACTTAGATTCAAAAAGAGGCGCAAAAATTGAATTGGCATGAGATGATCACTTCTTGGTTGAACCGAATCCACCAAATCCCATCATAGCTGCAACGTCAGGATCCATTTCAGTTTCCTCTTCTACTACTTTCTCTTTCTGAAGCCAGGAAAGAAGATTCAGGAGAATTATTCAAAAAGAAAATATAAAATAAGCAACTGCAAAATAGTATGTAAATTAACACAACAAAATTCAACAAAGATATCAAACGCTCCAACTTTGAAGATTCCAAACTCTGCATCACAAACGTTAATATTAAGAGAATCAATTCTACCAACCTTCTTCTCTTTCTTCCTTTCTCGACGCTGGCGCTTCCGCTCCTCCTCTTCTTGCTGCTGCTTCAAGATCCGCTCATCAAGATCTAAGAGGAAAAGGAGAGAGATCATTTTTTTCACTCACCAGAATAATATGAACATTACATGCGAAATAAGTGATCTAAATCTCTAAAGGATTGATTCACTTCTCACTCTTTCAATGTCTTACCTTGCTCTGTGAAGGTGCCATCAATTTTCCGCTTCTTGAGCTTTTCAAATCGCTCCTGAACCTGCATGAATTCAAGGCTTAACTCTGCCATTCCCATTAAAAAGATTTTCACAAAGAACTTTCATTTTGATCACCAATAAAAAGATATTTCTCATATTCCACCTGTTGGAGAGATGCCCGCTCTACCCGCATGGACATACCCAAAGCTCTTTGATCTAGAACAAAGAAAATAACATTCAAAAGATGATAAGACCAAAAGGAAATAATCATAATGACAAAAGAAACATATTCATAAATGAATTCATATGATAACCATGTCGATGGACATTACTTACGTTTCTTGCCATTGATATGATCCAAGTAGTTTGCAGAATCTTTTACAACACACTCACAAACCGAACAGAAGTATCCAGCCTGAAAAATAACTGAATTAATCACAAAGTGCCAGGGGAAACAAAATGTTGAAATAACAAGACTAGAGAATAACAACTCATATCAGATCTTGGCTTAAAACACATCAGATCAACTAAAAACATACCATAACCATACTGCAAACATACCATAACCATAGAGCGCAAGTACTATAACATTATTGTATTTTTCAGATAATGAAATTTATTACAATAGAATGTTAGAAAGGTGAGCAGTAGTTTGTAATTGATGAGTAATCATTGCACCCAAATCTTGGCTTCACATGCTAGATAAGGATTCAGTAGGAAAGTTACACAGCCACCTATCTGTAGCCACTGCTATCATGCTAACTAACGAGAGGATATACTTTAAAGAGGAGGGGAGGAGGAGAGAGAGAAAGAGAGAAAAGAAAATAAAAGCCTTTGGTGAGGATAGTCAAATTGGGCTAACACAGTATGATGCAGTTGTAAGTATTGGCCATGGCATCAAATTAAAATAAACTGTCAGCAATAATTTGGCCATCCCGAGTAAGCTAAGTACTGAGTTAGGAACACAATGCATGGATTCATTCTTAATGCATAAAGTTCCTTAAATATTCATCCTTCACACAGAATGTGAAGCATCTTGAATGATAGCATTACTCATATAAGTAATCATATAGATAACGAGAACTAAAGTAATTATACAACAGTCTGAATAAAGAAAGGGAAGAAACAAAAGCACATTCATGAACACAGTAAAGTAGAACACCAATGAGAATGCAAATCATAAAATTTAGTGAGGGATATTCAAATTTACCTGCTGGCTTAAAGGTGCTATTGGAGTAACAACCTGCAAAAACATACAACGAAATATTTATAAATAAGTTAAAGATACAAAAGTGATGAGAAACTCGTAATAATTATTTGGCAAGTATCAGAGCTGCAAGTAACAAAATATCCAATAAAAGATCCTATATAGGAACTTCAGAATAAAATGATTCATCGAGGCGCAAAACAGCATGGTTCTGAAGCAACTCAACTGAAGATAAAAGAAATGAAAAATCTCATTTCTTTTCAGGAAACCAGATAAAAGATAAACACACTAAACAGCAACAAGGGAAAAAACATCCATATACAACTATGCAATCCGAAAAATACAATGTTAACCTGTGTTTTCCCCAAGCGAGACTCGAGATCTACTTCATAATCTCTGTGCTTCAATGGCTTCCTTTGCACCGGCGGGCCTTTCGCTACACAGCAAAAATAAATAATAATTTCAGTTTATACTAAAGATAACAACTTGAAGAGTGCAAAGAGACCAAGATGGAAGATTAAACAAACCCACATTTGGATTTATGCGGCCCCTCCTCCTCCTAAAGCACAATGCAAAACACCCATATTAGCAAAAAGCATATTACAAATTTACAAAAAACAACAAGCACGAGACTTTTCAAGGCACAAACCTGTCTTTCACGCTCACGAGCTCGCTCCAAGAACTCTTCTCGATCGAATTTCCTTCTGAAAGTATTATCTACTCCAGCGGCCTATACCAAAATAAAGTAAATTAATAAAATTTACTTCAAGATTAAAACTTTTTTCTTTCAGTTTCTACTTCTGAAATCAAGAACTAAGTTAACTATTCCATTGATTAATTCTGAGTGAAAGAAAGTGAGGGTTTTGGAAAATTGAACTTACATTATTGCTGGTGTTAGCCATGCCTGCCCAATTCAATCTTCGAGCTAAATTACAGTTCAACCCCTCAAGGATGCAATTGAAATTTCAGAAACTCGGAAAGGTGGAGATTAGAAAGAGGGCTAATTAGCAGAGTATCGAATCCCCTGCGTTCTGAAGAAAAGGGGGAAGAAGAAGCTACAAAAGGCGTGACATATACGAGTTCAAATTATCGAGTATAAATTTTCTTTAAAAATAAAATAATAAATTCCAGAGATAACACCAAATCGGGCGTTTGGTCTAGTGGTATGATTCTCGCTTCGGGTGCGAGAGGTCGTGAGTTCGATTCTCGCAACGCCCCACTAAAATCTGTTTTTCTTCGCGGTTTAATAAAGTGACGTCAAACCTGTTTTTCTTCGCGGTTTAATAAAGTGACGTCAGAACTTTTTTTGGTATAGTATTATTTTGAGAAATAGGTTTTCAGGGAAGCTTGTCTCATGCATAGTATTATTTTGTTGACGCATTTAGTGATAAAAGCGCATATACATTACTGATTTATGAATTTAGTTTCCAGCAGTACATTACTTTAATTTGCTTATAGAATTTAAGGCTTTAATAATATATGTTACTGCTTATTATCAATTTATATCTCACCATATTTGTTTTAAAGCATATTTATTTCATGTCATTTGTAATATGACGTTGAGATCCCTTCAATTATTCATATTATTTACTTTGGTTTTACAAGAAATTAATGGGTTTTGCTAGATGCCTTTCTATCAATTCATTTCGACCCATTAAACACTAACGTTTTATTTTGATAGAGAGGAAACTACAGTGAAGTCTTCACAGGAGCCATATTGAGTCAATTGCCATGAAGTACTATATAGGAAAGACTCAAATAAAATGATAAATTTATATCACTGTAAATAGCATTTATTCTTGAGTATGGTGCAAGGATTTTAGCCTTAAATCCTTTGAGGCTTATTGGCCTATGAGGTACGTGAATCATGTAATTATTTTGCGGCTAATGTTGGATGTTAATTATTCGTTTAAGCCAATTCAATTGGCTTTGATCTCTTGGCAAAATTTGTGAAATGTATATATTTTTTGGTACTACAGTGTCTTAATATATTTTGAGACTTTCCCTAATTTGTGGGAGTTTGAGAATTTCATTAACTTGTGGGGGTTGTTGTCTTGTAATCCTTTTGCTTTAGAAAATTATTTTTGGTGGCCCATGTTGGAAACATAGAAGGAATGTGTTCTACATTGCAATATTTGAAAAATGTGGGGGTTCTTTATTTTCATAACCTTGATATTACTGTCAATAATTAGTAAATGAGTACTAATGGCAAACATGTTAATATATGTGTGAAGTTTGCTTATCCGATCACAATTCATTTATAAAGGAAATATATGTTGATGTATTATTATTAAGACTAATTCATTTTGTCTTCATCTTTGACATGATAAAAATGGGTGCAAGTTGTGATGGTCTTGGTATAAAATTTTGGTGGAGACTTCTTATTGTCTTAAAGAGATTCCTACTGAGAATCGAGAAGATATAGTGACAACTTGGATACGTGATCATGATTTCAGCCATTTGAAGTGCACAAATAGGGAGTAAGAGTATCGTGAAGTACTCATTATTTATTAAATTTATTTAATGAATTAACTGTTATTCTGTTGTTCATAGCTTCACCAGGTGCACTCAAGTTTCATAGACTGTTGTAGACTCATGTTTGAGTACCAAAATATTTGAGAGGTTCGGCAGGTGCAGTCAAAGCTTTATGGACCATCGAGACTCATATATGAGTACCAAAGAATTGAGAGGTACTCTTGATCATAAGATTTAATATATGATGGATTTCCATTATACTTTAATGTATACCGATGCATATGTAATCTCTAATTATATTGAGATGAGATCAACTAACCATTTGTGGTCAATGTCCTAGAAAATATTTCTAATAGACATACATGATGAATTTGAGGCCAAGTAGCTTAAAAAACCTCTTGGCTATAGCCCATGATGGAAGAGACAAACTTTCAAGTGTCTATTGTGAGAATCTTATTTTGAGAGCCAGAGCTATGAATATATTCATTTGATATTAAGTTGTGTTGCAACTTTTTGAGATCAGGGTTATATCCCTAAATTGTGAGATGTCAAAGTTTACCTTGGCCAATTCTTTGACAAAATCATGGCGACAAAGAAAATGGAATACATCGAGGGGGATGGGACTTATGTCTGTATCAACAGTCAACAGTGATGGTAACCCAACCTATGTGAATGGAGATCCCAGGAAGTAGGTTCCAATGGGTAAGAACAAGTCACTGGGTGATTGGATGCACACTATCAATTTATATTCTTGAGAGTTCCTCCCTATGGTCTAGAAAGTGAAATATTGCAACGTTTAAGGTTTAACTTATGTTCTTAATGAATACCATAGCCCTTATGGGTGGGGTGCTTGATTGCAGTGCACTCTTGATGGAATCACCTATATGAGTGTGGAAGTGGGGCCGCTTCCTATGAGAGTTTAGACATGCTCTCTAGAGCACTCATGAATATCCAGGTGGGCGCATGGCCTATTCGCGCCAACCCGCTTGAACAAACTTTAATAAGAGAATTTAATGTGGGTGGTCAGTCCTCTGTTTCACACAAAGAAATCTTGGTTCATAGAAAATTTTATTTTCACCAAATTTCTGTGAGATATGGCTAACTCACCCTAAGGCTGGTTCATAGTCCAAAAGACACCAGTTCTGATGCATTGAATTTTCACTTTCCCTTGAGACCTTTGTATTTTGAAATATGTGGTGGATTGTTGGAATTTTTGTGAATATTTCAAAATACAAAATTATTTTATTACTTATTTTATGTTGAATTTATTTTTCCTGATTTTTGAGTGGTTTGATTACTTCTTTAAAATTGCAATTATTTTGTATATTTATAAAATTTATGACCAGATACTTTTATATTAAGTTTGAGGCCCATTAACTTTGATTTATTCATCACTTAAATGGTCACAATTTTGCAGTTTAATACGTTTTGTTTTCAACAACCATTTATGTCCGTTTCGTACATTTACTTTGGGAATTAATTGGTTGATTATGTTGGGCAATTATTGCCATACTCCACCGTTGGATTTTTAGGGCATTTATTTTGCCTAAAACAATTTTAAGACCCAACCTCTAATGGGAGGGAGCCAGCTCCTATAAGTACCTTTTGAGAATAGCTGGAAATAAGAAGAGAAATTAGATTGATGCCTTTCTTCATTATTTTCTTCTCCGCATTCTTGAGTTTGTGTTCCAATTTGTTTTCTTTTATCAAGGGAAAGATTCGAGTTGTTCATCTAACCCAAGTATTGCGAGTGTACGCTTATGAGGGTCATAGGTTGTTGTATCCTGGAGGGTAGGGCGCCATACAACCTTGCTACACCGAGACATTGTCTCTGAGGGGCGAAATCTACTCTTAAGGACAGTGACTACACGCCTCAACCTAAAACTATTATTCTACTCAAGTATCAATGGAGACCAACTTCTGTTGGCGTTCGCGAATCTCACAGCCTGGTGCTCCGGGCTAAATGGGTTTGCGTCAACACAGGTCGTCCTTCTTGGGTTTTGTGCGATTGGATGCGCTGGCGTGCCAGCACGGTTCGCCGTGCGTTTGAGAGTGATGTGTTTTGGATAAATGGTCAAGTGATGCACCTGTTTGAGTTTTAACTTCTAATCAAGTGATTGTGGCCGAAAGAGGAACTGATCTCGGCTGGTAGGTTCACGGCCTGAGCTACAAGGCCGTTGATGATGGTGCTGATGGTGGTTTTAGATGGTGCTCCGGCGCGTCGCTGGGTGGCGATGGTCGTATGATATATGGGATGAACGAAAGAGTAATAAGGATGGTGCTCCGGCGCCTTGAAAATCAAGGGTCGTGTGATATATTGATTAATGGATTTTTCTACAAACTGCCACTACTCTTAAGAAAACAAGTAAATGTATTGAAATGGCATTACAGGAGTATAAATGACAAGAAGTAAATGACAGAAAAATATAATCTGCTCCGTGGGAGGCTTGTGTTTGGTGTTGAACCTTTTGAATGTAGTTTGAGCTTGGTATTTATAGAAGGAGCTCTGAAGAGACAATCGAGGTTGAAACTCTGCATGATGGGCCTGATCAGAACAAGTGGGTAGTCAAATCGGCATTTGGGATCGTGAAGCATGGTGGTGTGACCCCATAAATCCCGGCCGCCGCCTTGATCGTGGGTTTTGCTTTGGCCGTGGGGACGCATTTAATGCTCTGGTCTGATGGTTGGTGGGTTAACCTTACAAAATCGTGGGATTTTCACACCTAATCCCTGATTTTACTCACCACATCTGACTTCAATCACGTCCCCCATTTCTTGGCTCATTAATGCTCTTACGTGGATCATGGGCTTTCTGCTGTGATTAGAGGCACTCCTTCATTAAATGAAGCGTGGGGCCATGATGCCACGTGGCGATGCCACTTGATTTTCTCACTTTGGCCATGTATCTGAGGAGTTTGTTTTTCGGCCAATATATACCGAGGCCGTGATGGCGTTGACTTATAAGCTCACTTATCTTATGAATAAAGGGAGCGAACGATGAATTGGCCGTGAATAGGTGCTAGGGCCGAGTTGTTGTTCCTTCGGCCAGCCTCCTTCGGTCAACTTCCTTGGCCAAGATTTATTAGGCACAAACAACTTCTACATCCCAAAAGATAAGTATTTTGCTGTAATTTCATTGATTTTGTTTAATCTACTCTATCAAAGTAAATTACAATTTTCTAATAATTATTTCATATGATGTTTTGTAGGACAAGTAGCATCCATAAACCACATAATCCAACACTTGTTCCGTTTACTCTGTTTCTTGGTATCGCAAGAATGGACACCCATGCCCTCCCCCCCCGGTGTTCTTGAATTTCCAAGAAGAAAATCCCAGAAACTATAGGATAGAGGTTCTTATGAGTGACATCATTGCACAGTTGAAAAGGAAACTTGAAGAACGAGTCTCTATACCTTTCAACTATATTCATATTTTCTTCAACGAAGTCCCTCTTGAGGACGATGACAGGAAAGTAAGCTCATACAACATTCCTCCGGACTCCATTTTGAAGTACAAGATTGACGACGGGTTCAATGCAGACGTTTTCAAGTAAGTTGATTTTTCGTGTGTTTACAATTTACAATTTAGTTTTCCTCTCGTTC